ACTAGCTCAGCGCCCTGTGGGACCAGGAAGCATTTTCTACACCCTGCAGGGTCAGAGACTGAAAAAAAGCAGAGCTAAAATCAGGGAGGAGATGAGGAGCAGTGCCCGGGCCTTAGCCATCTGCCAGACTTGGGTGTCTTAAAGGAAATGCCCGGAGGCAGGGAGAGGAGTGAAGATTATATTTAGAGCTCACTAAGATGAAGTAATGCGCTCGCTCCCTCTCACTCTAGAGACGAGGCTCTTGGTCCGCTTGGAACACTCTCCCTACTCTGTCTTCACGGTGGGACCACTGCCCACAGGAGCCCTTGTAAGGGGGCCTCCCCAGCTCCCAAGGCACCCCCACTCCTTGGAGGGCAGGCTGAACCCTGTGTCCTCCTAGTTCAGCACAGCTTCCCCAACGATCCCCCTCAACTGGGCCTGGCAGGTAGGAAAAAGACTCAACGCTGGAGTAAATAAACAAATGATGATTTTTAAAATCTTTGTTCTGAATATAGTAATTGGCCTATTTATGATAAATTGTAACTCAAGTATTTTTACACTGTCAAGCACCCTCGGGGTGCTTAAATATTGATGACATTTTTGTAATAAATTTGGAAGACTGGAGGCAATTGCAGTAAGATACTAGGAAGGGCTAGGAAATGGGGAGAATGCCTGGGACAGAGCCCACGCATTCAGGGAGCGCTTCCAGGCGGGTATCCCTGCTGCTCCCAGAGGATAAAAGGCTGTAGAGCAGAAGGCAGCCCAGAGCCTCACGTCCATCGAATCCAAAACGCTTTGGGACCTTTTATTCCCACAATTTAAAAATCAATTCCCTTTCTGAAAAAGACACTATGTGCCAACCACACGAAGATCTGGGTCAGAAACAAAGCCGCTTCACTGAAATGACTTCATGTGTTCAGAAGCGGGGAGGTGGATTTCTTTAATCCACAGCACACCAAAAACTGATAAAGATTTCAAATGGAGGAAAGGAAGGAGTGGGTACAGATATACTGGGGCTCTTTTTATAGTTCCTGGAGTGTGAGAATGTTAATTAAAGGAATCTCAGAATCGGGGAGGATCTAAGAATGGAAGGGGCGAGAATTTAATTTTAGGTGTTGTTTCATTAGGTTAAAAAAAAAAAAAGACAGTTCCATGAGCTACCTGCAGCCATTCTCAGGAACTTCACAGACCCCCAAAAAGCTCCAACTGAAACTGTAAAGTATGAGAGACAGATTTAATGAAAGCTTCTCGGCCCAGTAAAGAACCTCTTCATTTGAAAGACAAATTCGTAAATCTTGGAGCATAAAATCAGCATAATAGAATGTTAGATATCATTCTAATGTGATTCTTCAAAGAGATGTCCGCATCCATTTTTTAAAACAAAAGGCACCAACAGGATTTATTAGCTGTTGCCTCTGCCAAAAGGTTCCCAAACCTAGGCTAGATGTGGTCCTCAGCACCCAAGTGAGTCTTCAGGATGTTACCCTTCTTTCCATCCAGTGGATAATAATGCAACTAATAACTACTGACCCTGGCCTTACTGGGGACCCCACTTTTCTCAGCAAGTTTACATACAGTTCTCTAGTCCCCCCAATGCCCTGCAGGAGAGACATTTCCATTTCCATCTTGCAAGTGCAGAAATTGATTTGTGGGATGGATGCTCAGCTGGCAAATAGGAGAGCTGGATCCTAAAGTCAGTTCTGTCTACTTCCAAGGTCAAGCGGTTTGCACTATGCCACCTTAGAACAATCAGTAGACACATAAATCAGGGGTAAAATGTGTCCAAGGGAACCCACCCAGGCCAGACATGCACAGGCACACTCATTCCCCATTCTTGGGCTCCGCTCCTGCGTCCTGCATCCCATACTTTGATGGCCTGAGTGAGTGATCTTGACTGGTTCATGCCCATAGCATTCCCAGTCCATGAGCTGTAAGCGGCAGAAATCCATTCCTGCCAACAAAAGCAAAGAGATTTTCTGAAAGGCTATCTAGGAGTCAAAGAAGCAGTGCAAAGGCTACAACACCAGACAGAAAGCAAACAGCCCTAGATACTGGTGAGTTGAAATAAAACAAACCATCTCTTGCCAGAACAGGTTGGCCCTAGGTCTCTTCTTTGTCTTCCTGCTCAGATTGTTCTGGCTTTGGTCACAGACTATCCACTGGGGAAGAGAGAATTTCCTAAAAAGGAATGGTGTACTGGTAGCTGGGCCACTGCATTGCACAACTCCAGGGGGCACCACTCACGTAGATTATAACGTGAGTGGTATGCCCTCGGGTTGTACAGCATGCCAGCCCTACAGCTGAATCCCAGGCAGCCCCTCTGAACTCTCTGCACTTGTTAGAATCAGCGCCCACATACACCTCTCACTTCTCGCACAGTTAATTTTCTGTACAGCTCATCATTATATCTTTCCCAGTTGCACAGGAAGATCCTTAAGGATAAGATCCAGAACTTCAACATCTCTATTTCTAAAACCACATCATACAGAGAAGTAGCTTCCGATTAAACTTTTGCTTATAGCCACAACCAAATATGTATTTCCTTTCAAAAATAAATGGATCAGTTCATTTAGTGCAGTGAAATAGGAATGTTGTCCACCTGGCATCCACCATGTTTGCACATTATCCTCGCCAGGTACAAGAAATTGACCATGGCAAGGAAGGCTAGATAAATTGGGGGCATGAGCATGTAACAGAAGCCAAAGGCTATGCTAAGAATGGGTGTCCTGGTTTCTAGAAGGTCAGGTTCAGATTGCCTGGAGAGGCCTTTTTCAAAAAGGATTACCCTCTTCCCCTAATATTATTCCATGTAGGCAGCTGCTCACGCCCCAGCCACTGCCCCTGGCCCCAAAGCCCCTTTTCATGGACAGAGTTTGGTCAGTCTCCAAGTATTTCCTGAGCAGTGGTTAGGCACCAGGGGCTATGTGAGGCAGGAAGTCACTGTGCTATTAAAAGAGCTCAATACCTAATGCCATCAATAAACCAATAACCATTTATTCAACTCCATCATCCTCCACCATCCCTCCACCCTCGTCACCAGATTGGCTGCCCTGATGGCTCATTGCCTAAACCAGGCTCTTGTGTGTCAGCATAGCCCAGGCCCAGAGCTTTCCAGCAGGGAGAGGGTCACAATAGCAGGAGCAAGAATGAAGTGGGCTGGCAAACCCACGTCGTCCTGGCTCTAGATCTGCTCATTCAACAATCTCTTTAACAACCCTATATGGCACCCTGCTGTGTGTTCGACTTTGCAATGTACCGGGAGCTATGCAACAAGAAGGCACAGGCTACTGAAGGAAGCAGCCTGTAAACAAATGATTACAATTCTGGGCGGCCAATGATTCAAATGGTTCACATAATATTCTCATCTACCATTGTATCTAGCACCTGGCATAGCGCCTGGCTTGCACTGGGTGGTTGCCCCATAGTGCAGACCGATGAGTGAATGTATTAATGACAAACATCGACTGCTCGCCATGCGCCAGGTGCTGTGCAAAGAGTTTTACTTGCATTAACTCATGCGATGCTCATGACAACTCTGTGAGGTGAATATTATTGTAACCCCTGCCTCATTTCCTGATGAGGAAACCGAGGCACAGTAAGATTAGGTGACTTGCCCAACTAATAAGAAGAGGAGCCAAAATTCCAGCTCAGCACAGACAATCTGACCCCAGAGTCTGTGCTCTTAGGCACTGTGCTTATGTGTTAAGTGAATAGGGTTGGGGCGGAGCCCAAGAATGGGAAGTGAGTGTGCCTGTGCCTGTGCATGTGCATCCCAGAGATGGCAGTCACCATACGAGGAGCTGGGCATGGTTTCCATATTCAATATTTTTTTTAAAGATTTTATTTATTTATTTGAGAGAGAGAGTACATGAGAGGGGGGAGGGCCAGAGGGAGAAGCAGACTCCCTGCCGAGCAGTGAGCCCGATGTGGGACTCGATCCAGGGTCTCCAGGATCATGACCTGAGCCGAAGGCAGTCGCTTAACCAACTGAGCCACCCAGGCGCCCTTCAATATGCAATATTGACATGAATGGCCCACCCACTACCATAATGTCCCAGCAGCTTGACCTCCACTAACATTTTCCATCATTCCACCTCAACCACTGACTCCCACATCAACTCTGTGTGCTGTCATCCCCAGTAAATGCACCACTTCTGAAATCTCAGTGCCAAGGCTTCTGCTCCCTGGCTTCACCATGTCCTTCTAGCACATGCATTCTAGGACCTTGATGGCAATGATGGAAACCCCATTCAACTGACTCTACCACCGTTTCTACTGGCAACCCACCCTGCCTTCATTTACTTCCTTACCCTTCTTAGAGTCCATGATCTATTATTAGAAGTCTATTCCCAACAGCCTACACTTTCTCTCCTTATCATTCTTGCCCGGTAAAACTACCCAACCATCTACCCTCTCCCATTCTTGTATTAGAGCTACTGAACGTTGCCTCATTCCCCTCCCCAGGGCTTAGTTCAAATATCATCTCCTTAGAGATGCCTTCCCTGGCCAGCCATCCAACAAAACATAGTGTCTCCTAGTTGGTTATTTCAGCAAATTATTTACTGAGTGCTTTCCAGACCTTGCTATTAGCGCTTTACATTGATTAATTATTTGAATCCTCAAAGCTCGAGGAAGTGGACACTGTTATTGTCATTATTATACCCATTCTAAAAAAGGAAACTGAGCCCAAAGGGGTAATGACTATCCAAAATCAAACAGATATCATAGGCAGTCTCAGGATTGAACCCCACACAGCCCAACTCCAGCCTGGTCTCTTAACCATCACACGCCTCTCACACAGCCAGCATGTCTTCTTCTAGCACGTTCTACAATCCAGGTACTGCCTTATTTAGTGATTTACATGCTGTCAGTGTCCTCCTTAGAATATGAGCAACTGTGCGGACAGAGACCTTCCTTTTCATCACTGGATCCTGAGTGCAGAGTGAACACAGATAATATGAGCAAATCATTTTCATTTAATATGATTGAGTAATATTATGTCTGTTGTGTGTATGTTTCAGAGCAGATTTATTTTGCCGGCCCCGTCAATAATCCTGGATTTGAAATTCTCCAGGTAAGGTCTTGGTTTTCTGTTTTGCTCTGTTACTTAATTATCGTATTGAGCAGTTTCTTAGAGGAGGAGGAGGGAATTAAATTTAAACATATTCCATTGGCCATCACTAAGAAAACCCTTCTACAAAAAAGCTGTTACCTCATGGTGGGCACTTACAAATGCTTAAACACTGATTTTGCCATTTTGGTATTTAACATTTTATGTCCCAATTGACCCTCGGGGATCCTCTGGGCAGACAGCTCCCACGGAGAAGGACACCCGCGCCCCATCCTGCAGGATTGCCTGTGGCCTTGGGGACTGCATGGGCTAAAGTTGCTGGGGTGTGGGCTGTCGGTGAGGCTGGCTGTTCGGAGAAAAAAAGAAACACACGTACAACCATGAAGGCTTATAAGCTCCCAGGTTCCGTCCGGGCTTGCGCTCTTACTCATGGCTGCCACGGGGTGAATAAAATGCCCCCACCTGAGCATTCACTGGCAACACTCGCAGCTAAGAGTCAAGTTTTCCACTAAGTCCTTTTTATGCAAAATAATGTGACCTTATTAAATGGCTGAATTCAAGCATCTCTGACATAAGCAATACATTTTCAATATGCTACTCCTGAAAGAATCTTATGTGACATCATAAAAGGAATCACAAAGATGTAATAACTATGTTTTTTGTTTCAACCTCATCCTATCAGTTTTCAAAAAAACCTGTGTATGACTCTGGGAAAGGGTCTCCTTCTGCATAACCAATTTGCTTAACTTTGTTTCATTTCTCATGTGTGTTTCCTTTCTGTCCAAGGCTTTGGGTTCTGAAGGTGCAAGCCCTCATGTCTGGAGAACATTCTCTAGTGTTGCCTTTGCCGATGGAAAGTTTCCACCTTCCCCTTCCCCCTCCAGCGTTCTCCAGAGTCTTCTCTGCAGACCTTTCAGTAAAATACTAGAGTCTTGCAAACTCCCTTCACTTCTAGAATGTGGGACCAAAATTCTCCCAACTAGTTTTTTCTTGAAATCTTTGCTATTTGAATTCTTTTTCCTTCTCTATTTTCCTTCTGAATCCCTCCATCCCCCCTCCCACTGGAGATTGACTTAAAATTTGCAAACAATTGATTTTCATCTTGCATTATTGGCTTTTTTTTTTTTTAAAGACAGTGCTCTTTAGGAGTTGCTATGAAATAGAAGGGAAAAGAACTTCTTAAAGGGACAGAATCCCTTTGAAAGAAAAATCTGGCAGAGATGTAAAAAAAATAAAAAGCTTTATTGCATTCCCCTAGGATGCCTGGGTGAGTGCAGGACCTGCGTTCTTCAACCAGTGACAGTGCTCAGCCGTGTTGCCCAACATGAGGGCCAAGCCAGGCTCCAGGGTTCCTGCCATGGGCATGGTTTTTTGGGCATCCATTGGTCCTCTTCCCCTTCTGAGGTTTGGGCCTAAGAAGCAGAAACCTGGCCAGCCCTGACTGTGTCCAGCCTGCTGACACCTGGCCAAAATTGACAGGGGGCATGACCCAAGTGGGACACATGCAACCTGTCACCTATGCAACAGACGCAGCTGCCGGCCTTAATCTCAACATGGGCTCCCACGCTGTTTGAGGGCCAGCTGCAGCCAGCCCGGCTTCCTTGGCTGACAGCCAGCCAGCAAGGCTCAGAGACTTTGCTTCCTAATATGGGACAGAGACAGTGTGAAGCCTTCTGGTTTTAAGAGACCTGCCCTGGATCCCCTCCTCCCACCAAATCCCCCAGAGATGGGCTCTGTGCTAATTCCAGCCCTGCTTGGCTGGAAGCTTTTCCACTCAGCACTCAATCTTCAGTGTCTTGGTGTTACTTTCTTTTTAACACAGCCAGTCCCTTGGCCCCGACTGAAGTCCTGCCCGGAGCCCTGCAAATCCATGACTGTTGTTTTCTTGAATTAGAATTTAGAGATCCTTTGGGCTTCCAAAATGTGTGGACAACCACCTGTAGGTAGAGCCTAATCTGCGTGAGTGCCAAGGATACGACTGTAAATTCCTGACCCACAAATCCAGGGCTCTCCTCAACAGCAGAGAGGCTGCTGCTCTCCGTCCCTTGTCCCTACTCTTCCCCTCCTGTCCCCTTAGTGTGTCCCTCCACCTGCCTGCAGATGAGCACAGTTGCCCAAATTCTATTGCCTCCTAAACCAGAGTATGCGTATCTTGTACGTACGTATGCATGTGTGGAATGTTAAGTATGGAATTCATAATCTAGAAACCTTCCTGCAAATACTACATCTTTTCTTAGGCTTATAAGGCAATAACGAAAAATTCATTTGTTTTTCAATAATTTTGGGCGTTGTGTGCCTGAAGGCACATGGACACTAAACGTAAAGAAGGTGATGGTGGGGGGGCCACAGGCAGATGTACATTTGAACTGCTCTCTACTCATAGTGAATTCTCTAACTTTCACACTGCTTCGCTTACATTCCTATACTGCCTCTGAATTCGCAGCTGCTCATATTTGGGCAGCCAGCCTCATGGGAGTCTATGGTCACAGATCCTCAAGCTGAGTGGCACCCTAGGGGACACTCTGAGCAACCCTCTCACCTCAGCCACTGTCAAGAGTACAGCCTGGCTCTGCCGAATGCAGTTTTCATTGTTAGGGAACCCGCTCGCTCCTGGACCTCTGCTAATTGCTAGAAAGTTATTCTTCTCTAACAAAAACTGCCTCTCATGCAACCTCCATCCAGTGGTCTGATCTATTCCTTCCCTCCGGCTTATACAGATTAAACCCCTTTTCTTCTCTGGGTGACAGGCACTTGAAAGATGTGCCAGGAATCTCTCGAGATCCTTCCCTCCTGGGCTCTTTGCCCTGCTTACCACTACCTCCCATGGCCCAGAGCATCTCTCTCCAGACTGGTGAGCCTACAGACATGGTCCACCACATGGCCTCTGGGGGCTGGGGCGGGGCTTTGGCACGGAACTGACACATGGGTTTTTCTGCAAGTTCACATTCAGCCCAACCACTAAGCACATACGAAGAGAGTCCTCTGTGGAGTGTCGTTGCCAGAAAGGAAACCTAAAAGGTGGCAATACTTTTTCTCATAGAGCATTCTGGTTTTGTGCAGTTGAATTTTGATCCCCCAGAGGTCTTCTCTGTTTCAGCAAATGACACTTCATCCTTCCAGTTGCTCAGGCCAGGATCTTTGGCATCACCCTCAGCCCCTCTCTTTCTCTGCCACCCACATGAGTTTCCTCGGTAAATCATTATTGGCTCTTCTTTCAAAATCTATCCAGAATCCAATCTGGATTCCTCTCCTCATCTCTGCCCATCTGCTCCAGCCAGAGTGGTCTCCCACCTGGTCTTAAGCGCTTCCACTCTCTGCCCATACTGGCTCTGTGGGTGGCCAGAAGGATCCTATTATGATATGCATGTGATCAGGCCACTCCTCTTATGACCTGTGTCCCTGTCAGGGTGGAAGCTAGTGTCCTCATCATGGCCCGCGAGGCCATCCCTGACTCATGTCCTCTCCCTCCTCCTGTGGGTCTCTCTCCCTGCAGCCCTGTGGGCGTCCTCCCTGTTCTTCACACACAGGGTGCCAGCCCTCAGAGCAGCGGGGGTGCTCCCCATCTTCTTCAGGTCTTTGCCCAAAAGCCACCTTTGCAGCGGGACCTGCCTGGACCACCCTGCTTAAAACTGCCCACCAGCACTAGCCCAGCCCCACCCTGCCCTGCCTGGCCCAGCACTGCCTCCCCACCCCTGCCACACCCCGCTCCCACTCCCCCCCTTCCCTGCCTGCGTTCTGTCTCGGGCACCAGCATGAGCATAGCACCCATAGTGAAGTATCGGGTACATTGTCTGTCTGTCCCAGGGAGCCCCGTAAGCGCCACAAAGTGAGTTTGGTTTGCCTGGTTCTACTTTATCCCTGGTGTCTAAAACGGTGCTGGCACCTAGGAGGCGCTTGATGACTACCAGTGGAATGATGGATTGCTTTGTGGGTCACACATCTCATGCTTTCCCTGTGTCCTTTCCAGGGAGAATACCAGGTTTTGCTGGAACTGTATAATGAAAACCATTTCACCGTGGCCTGTGCCAATGCCACCATCATTTGCTCCTGAGCAGCTGAAACTTGGAGCACACTGTGTCTGCTGGGAACCACAAACTGCTCAAGCTGAACCTGCTCTGCAAGCAAAAGCAGTGGACGATGGAGAGGCTCAGCGGAGGGGCAGGCGCAGGTTTTAGCCCCCAAGACCAGACGTCCTCAGACTCCACGCATGTACATGCTTCTGAGTCACCTCCTGGCAGTCTCAACGCCATCCTGTGGGCCTGTCCTCCTCACGTGGCCAGACTCACCTGCAGAAACAACTCCTCAGGAGCACTTCCCCTGTTACCCAGAATAAAGAAAGTTGGCCCACTGTTGTTCCTCATGGTTTGTTCAAAGGCTCTTAGTGCAATACCGTAGTTACAGTGTAATTTCCTCCAGACAAAGCGCCAGGTGCTGGCAAAGCATAAGTAGTTCTAAGAGATTGAGGAGGCTGGCCGACTGGCTGGAATTAGAGAGCTGGCAAAATGTGCCCCTTGTCCTCCTCCTCCTGAGCAAGCTCCAGGCCCTTTGGCCACAAGGACCGAGGAGCCGATAAAACCTTAGAAAGAACGACATCCAAATCCCGCCTAGCCAAACCTCATTATATCATCGTCCCCCAAGCATGGCTGTCCCTGGCCTCAGCACGTCATGGCCGTCATTAATGCATTCATTAATTCTTGATGTGTACCTGCTGAACACTGAAGTCCTGGGCCCTGTGTTCAGCACTGAGGCTACTCCAGGGAGCAAAACAGACGGTGTGGAGCTTGCGGTCCCCTGAAATATTAAAAAGCCATGTCGATCAGTGGGCATGTTCATTTGCATTCAGAAACACCTCCAAGGGCATCTGTAAACGAGCAGGTTGCTATCCGCTCTCAGAGCCATTCTGGCAACCCTGTATTTTTCTGTCCCAGGACGTGCAGAATCACATGGTGGGCTCCACAGCTCTGACACCATCCCAAGCCCCCCTCCCCACCCCGATCCTCCCAGTGTCCCTGGGCCCAACATCTGGCCCTCTTGCTCCTGCCCGGGGGACTGGCGTCAGATGACTGGGTTGACTTTATCATTTGCAGGTCTTTGAGATCCATAAAAGTACCACTATGTTAGAGATTAAAAGGCAAAAAATCCAAAGTTTAAAAATGTTCATTGCTATTAATTACCATCTGTACATAATTAAACTACCCAGAATAGAGGCTGTAAATGCCTGGTGAATTAAAACTTTAAAACCAACATCTAAGGTTTTTTGGGTTATGGAGAAACAAAATTATAGTCCTTACTTATACCCATTAATGCTCGAGAAAGAAGACATACTGTGGTTATGCCCGGCCGGGGAGCAGACCTCTGAACACACACGGGTGTGATCCTGTTATGCACACCAACAGCAGACTGAATTTCTGATCCTTTGCATTCCCTCTAGTGAGACATTCCCCTGCTCCCTCTCCCGTAAGCATCCTTATGTGTGGAGTAAAGGCTGCTCGGAGGTTCTGAGTACTCACGTGTTCCAACAGCTTAGGACAGTGGCCACAGCCTTCCAGAGGCAGGGACAAGCAATCGGAAATGAGCTCACTTTTCATTTTTCTGAAATTCATCTGTTCCCTTTCCCTTTCCTGTTCTTTGTCATCTTCTTCTAATTCATTGACAATATGTGTACATGTGTGTAAGCATGCGTGTATGTGTGTGTGAGGGGGGAGCATGTTCAGACCTTTGGGTTTGGATGAAACAGGGGATTTCCATGTACAGGGCTGGCCCCACACACAGCAGCCTCACTCAAGGATTAACTTGAGAGGAAAAGAAGGTGTTTCTCTGCCCCAAGATCTGTTTGTCCTTAGTGTCCTGTCGTGGACCTTAAATTTCACTATGAGTTCCTCTCCTGCAAGTTAGAAAGAGAAGGTTTTTCCCTGGCTCCGTCTTGGTAGTAGAAATGCTGGAATCATCATTACTGCATGACATTCTGGCTGATCACAGGAACCAAGATGAAGTCTGGAACTCCATCCCAGGAAGCCAAAGGCATTAAGGGGGAGGTGGGCAACCCCAAGGCAAGCTCTCTGGGGCTGACCACCTCTTCGTGTGCCTGCTTTGCAGGCAAAGTGTGGAGGGCACACTGACAAAGAACTTAAGTTATGTCTCATTTTCTTATAAGCAGAGCTCCTGCTGTTTCAAAATCACTATAAAACATTCTAAGCATTTCTCCTCAGTAAACTTTCCTGAGGGAAAACAAAAACAGAAACAAAACAAGCAAACAAACAAACAAAAAACTCAGTTTGATTCAAGATGATGCTATGTTGCCAAAAAACAGTTGTGGAAATCAGACAGCTCCCCTGTTCTGGGCATCCACAGGCTCCTCCTTATAATTTAAGGGAAACTCTCTGTATCTACATAAACAGTTAGCCCTTCAACAACATAGACATTAGAGGCACCAAGCCCTCATGCAACTGAAAATCTATGTACACCTTCTGACTCCAAAAACCTAACTACTAAGAGCCTACGGTTGACCAGAAGCTTTACCGACCACAGAGTCAATGAACACATATTTTGTGTGTTCTATGTGTTAAATATTGAATCTTTCAATAAAGTAAGCTAGAGAAAAGAAAATGTTAAGGAAACATAAGGAAGAGAAAATATATTTAGAATGTTGCACTGTATTGAAAAAAATCAGCATATAAGTGGACCCTCACAGTTCAAACCCATGTCGTTCGACAGTCAGTTGTGTATGTGTGTGTGTGTGTGTGTGTATGGTTACAGGGTATATATATATATACACACACACACATATATACATATATATACATATATACATATATATACACACATATATACATATATATATACCCTGTAACCTTCCCAGCAAATATATATATATATATAAATATATATATATATATTTGGTGGGAAGGAAATGCCAGTACCCAAGACTAGGGCCCAGGCAGAAAGCTGAATATCCATTTGGGCAGTGTGATCACATCACTTAGAATGTTTGGGCATAAGGAACAGACACTCAACTCAGTCTGGCTTACACATACAAAACCCCGTTGGCCCCTGTGATTGCTGAGCCCCCACGTTTCTAGCATCAGCCTCGGTTTGCTGCAGAGGTTCACACTTGTCATCAGTGCTTCACCTCTATTTCTCCATGATTCTTGCACCTCTGGCCTCCCTGAATACTGGTTTCACCCTTGGACAGTCTTTGCTATAAGAGCAAATAGTTTCACACCTGTCCAATGTACAAAAGGAGAGAGACAGCTCTCTCATGGAAGTCCTCCATTCATTCTGAGTGCTAGCTCTCATGCTACCTGACCCAGAGCTGGATTGGAGTTAGCTCCATTGGAACCACCCTTGTCCCTAAGTGGAAATTGGGTGAGTTGGAAAGGGGGAAAGGGAGAAAAGGGGGAAAGATGCTGGGTAGTTGGGAGCATGTCTGGAATTAGGCCAGCACTGCGGTTCTAACTCTCTTCTACCTGCTAACGGAGTGAGTGACTTAATTCTCTAACCTTGGCTGGCTCACCCGCAAGTGTCAGCAATAATACCCACCTTACAGAAGTACTTATAGAAGTACTGAGAATTAAAGGAGAGAATGCCTGGCAAGCACTTACAACAGTGCCTGGCATGTAACTCAATAAAAGAGAGTTATTATTCTGCTAAGGTGGGTGCCTAGTCCCTCTGGGCTGTTATGACAAGAATACCATACTGAGTGCTTTATAAACAACAGATATTTATTTGTCACAGTTTTGGAGGTTGGAAGTCCAAGATCAAGGTTGCTGGCAGATTCAGTGTGATGAGACTCTGCTTCCCGGTTCATAGGAGCTGTGTTCTCCTTGCAAGTGGAAACAGTGCAAGGTAGCTCTTCGGGACCTTTGTCATGGGGGCACTAATCTCATTCATGAGGGCTCCACCCTCATGATCTAACCACCTCCCAAAGGTACCACCTCCAAATACCATCACACTGGGAGTTAAGATTTCAACGTGTGACTTTGGAAGGATACAAACCATTCTGTCCATAAGAGGTAGGTATTCACCTTGGAGCCGAAGCCCAGCTCCCTAATTTCCCTCTCCTGCCCCCTCCTATTCTATTGAGGCAAATGATCTTTGAGCCCTGCCTTCACCTATAAGCCCACATTCCTTTTTAAGAGCTGAAGTGGTCCCTTGGCACCTTGATTTCTTTCTTCTAAGAAAGAAGGGACGGGGCATGTTCCCTGAGCCACCTGCTAGAACGCTGAACTCTGAAGAGACTATAAGACAAACATTCAGGTACAAGTTTCCCCCCAAATAGAAACATTATAACCAGACCAAACAGGCCCGAGGAAAGAAAATGTGTGTCATCCTTAATTAAAGTTGTTTCTTGTAAAAGAAAAAAAAAAAAAGCGAAGAGATACACATGCAAGACGGGAAGAACTAAATGTAACATCGGCACATTTAACAATTACATTTGGCTTCAGCAAAGATAACCCAAAATAGCTGGTGAGAGAAGGAAAGGGCCACATCCTGATTTTAACCCGGATTTGTTAGGGAGGGGTTTTATCATCTCAGCGGTTCAATTTCAGATTTGAATCAGCTGCATTTTTCTCAGTCAGCAAAAGGAGTTCCTCTGTCTAATTTCCTGCTCGTTTCAAAACCTTTCAAAACCAAGTTCTTCCCTCCAGTATCTTGGTCTCCTCACTCTTGCAGAAAAGAGTGTATGCATTGATGTTATTTCAGCTGAAAACAATGATTTCTTCCCCCCTCCCCAGCTGATATTTTTGTGGATTCCCTGAAACCCGACCAAGGTCTGGAAAGAAAACATCCATGCCATAGAAGGCCGTACCATTCATTTGCGGCTTCCCCTCCTTTTCTCTATTCAGAAGTGGTGGAAGAAAATTTGGGAAGGGGCCAGAGAATATTACTGAAATATCAAAGGATAGGAGAGGTTTCCACATAAAGATAAACTGTAACTGATTAAACGTATGGGCGTAGAAAGACAACATCTGGGAAGTCGAAACAGTGGCAAACAATAATAATACAGTTGTTTGGAAGCTAACAATTATCTGAGCACAGGTACTTTCCCTG